TATGAAATATCTATATAGGGTGAGTCACGAAAAGCGGAACACTTAACTATTTCTGTTACATTTATATATTGGAAACTTGTTGCAAAAATAATTATAATGTATCGACATTTAAACTAAAAAATACTGATAATCTTTGAATGGCCTTGAACAGGATGTCACGTTCGCTTTTGAAACGGCACAACTTTTTCCTCGGAGGTTTTCACGTATTCCTGTTTCAATTTAACAAAGATATTTATGTCTCCTGCTTCTTGTGACCCATCCAAATATATCCAGGGTGCATCAGCTGAAGTGAGCCACCTAAATATTTTCTTCGTTTGCGGTGATACGAAATTCGACAAGAATAAATAAAAATAAAAATATGCCATAAAATATATTTTCATTTGAAGATAACTTGGTGTATATCGGTTGGCGTATGCGAACATACATCCCACCCTCTGTATATGTTAGCTAACATTACATAAAATGTATTCAATGATGTATATACGACACTGAAATGGGAATTATTTTCATTGGGATGGCAGGCCGCAATGATTTTGTAACATCAAATTGCACAGAAAATATTTGTTTATCACTATAATCGATGAGGATATGTAAGTGCTTTATTTTTAGTGATGTACCCTGCATATATAGGGTGTACTATAATACATGAGCACGATTTTGGCGATGGATTCAGTACACAAGAATAATAAAAGAAGTTTATACGAAATTTACTGTAATCGTTTTCGAACAGACCGTGTTTGCATCTTGTGTGTTGAACCAGAGTAACTAGTGCAAATGTGATAAATATTGAATAAACTATTTTTCGTTGTTTTTACACATTGTAGCCGTTATCGAAATTATTTCCACGTATTATAGTACACAAATTTTTTTTTATTCATTAATACTATTATTGTTTCGATTATTATTAATATCATAGAATCTTTTCGAAGATCGAACAACGTTTCGTTGCAAGAGAAAGAATATCCTGCTACCACTGCAAAGATTTCATGGCGGAATGATAACTGGGGCTACGCTGCGAATAGAACTGAGAGTACCACCTGCGGTAAGAGAGGATGCTTCTATCTTCTTTCACGAGGAGTGGTTGCTTCTCGAATTTTTTTTTGTTCCAGATGGCCACATCTCTTTCGAACATTAAGCTTTCCCCTAAGAATATGATCAAGGCGTACGGGGAAAGCAACGGCGGAGCGTAAATTACATGAACCACCTAATAACAATTAGAAGACAACAGTAATATTAGTAATATTTTACATTTTTTAAACCGTTTAGATAATTGCTACATTAATAATTTGCGAATGAAATGTAGCCAAAGTAGATATGGAATCAAAATTAAATATTTTTCTTTAATTAAAGTGTATTTCCTCCTAAGAAAACATCTATATTTATTTAAGGAGATAAGTACTTTACGTTAATTTATGTTCCTGTATAGATTACGATGTAAATAAAGGTAATTATAAACTTATTGTTTTGATGTAAACAAAGATAATCACTCCAAATACCGTGTCCACAACAAAATATTTCATTATTCACAATAATAACCTTTTGCAGAAGAGGTTCCATTGGCGTCACCGTCTGCAATATACACAATCGCCCAAAAAATGTGTTCATTGTCATTTCCACATACCCTGGACCGATTTGATGGACGTTCACGTCCAAGTGCCACAATTTGTACTTTTCAAAGATTATCAGAGTATGCCTTAATGACGTATAAGCTCTGTGATTTAAGTTTTCTCCGTCATTGTTCTCGTCTACCGAGGAGTTTTTACTTTCTGACAATGAACTGTGCGGCGTCCAACCGATGTTCGTCCAGGAATGTCGAGCGATCCATGAAAGTGGATGGATGAAGTTCGAAAGTACCGCTGGGCCGTGAACTGCACTGAGGTGCGCCGTATCGGCGCCATTTTCCGCGACTTCCTGCAACAAACGGAACAGTTTCCTTTAAAAACTATTCATCGCAAACTAAGCAAAATTTGATTCGTCAAAACGTACTTACTTTCTTAATGTAACAAAGGAAAATTTAAAAAAGAAAGAACATGTGAAATGAAATATCTTTATCTCGAATAAACTAAAAGAGCGAACGATATCGCGGGAAGAAAATTTCTTGTACCGAGCTGTAAGATAATTTTATTTCTTGTTAACGGTCGGCGTCGAACGATTACGAAAATGGGTAAAAGGTTATATGTGCTACGTTTAAGCAGTGCAGTTCCGGGAATAATCGTTTGTTTTATCGGTAACATTTAAAAAAGCGTCACGCTCGAATTACAGAATTGTAGCGCGAAAGAATTGGCTAAAGCTACGCGAAACTGACCTGTATGTGGCAGTTGATAAGATATTCGTTTCGACCTTGATAACGCCACTTTCGATTTGAAACATCTCTGACCGTCTGCGGTTGCCAGGTGGGTTCTAGTCCTTCCGCGTGGTACCACACGAAAATGATCCCGTTCGCTTCGCAACACTTCCATGTTCTTGTCCTTGCAATATGTGGCACTACATCGAACAACCCTAATTAGTATTACCAATAATTTTGCAAAACAATAAGATACGAACGAAAAGACGGATATAAGATGTAGGATAAGGCATCGAACGGGGTAAATCGCATATCCTCTCGTTCCATGTTTATTTACAGTCGTATTAACGATACTGATAATATATCTTGCAGCGAGTATCATTCATTAATGAGAAATATGCTGTTAGCCATTTCCTTATGCTTAGCACGTTAACTGCCACGAGAATTCTGAGAGTTTTGTATATTAACACTAAAACTACCGAGAAATTGGAGTGACTTATTCCGAACCTTTTATGAAAATTAGAACAATACGTTTCTTGAGGTTCGAAAGGTCGCCTACTACTTTTGATCACTTGTTAATTTTCTGCAGCAATTCATGAACATTCGCTACCTCACGCGCGTGTAGTTCCGTTGTGACACGGGTTCCATTGGTAACGTGTTCGAGTTAACACGTTAACTGTCACGGTGGTCACCGGTGATCGAAGCTTCCAAATTGCTTAAATACAGTTTAAATAAGAAAACCTTTGTCGAATAAGAATATTTAGTAACACAAATAGCTAGATGATAGTGTAATACCAAACCATCATTAATTATTTCTAATATCATTTGCCTTTGTTGTTATGAAAGAATATGTATTGCTATACAAAACATTCGAAATTTTCATGGAAATCAACGTGTTAACAACAGTTACCTTTTTCAGCGTACGGAATATGACTGCACTGGCCATCGGAACCACGAAACTGCCAGCCATGGAAGGGACATTCTATACAGTCCCCCTTGACCCGACCGCCCTCGGCCATATTGGCGCCGAGGTGAGGACAGTAAGCGTCTAAAATTCTCACCGTCCCGTCGTCTGTTCTTTAAACGAACGGATTGTTGTTAATTCACCTGTCCGACCCAGGGATACCGTACCAAGGCATAAATGTCGAAATACCTGAACACGGCGAGATTTTCGCCGAGCGCCGCCACGTGCTTCACTTGGCCCTTGTGTAATTGAAAAGTTTCCAAGATGGCGAACCACCCGTTCGGATAAACTGGAGGAAGTTTCCCCAATTTCCGTTTCTTCGACTCCAAGTAATTCGCGAGAATCTTCTTGCTGTTGCCTTGTATCCTTAAATCCTGTAACAAGGCAGATAGTTGTTATCAAAATTATTATGAACAAGACGGCGCAATGGGGGATGGTCCACTGGAAATAGGCAATTTAAATAACAACCGTTGAATATATTTTTCAGTAATTTCTTGTCCTTTGAATGCGATACGCGCTTAAAAAGTAGGCTCTGATTTTTGGGAATCTTCTATGCGAGTGTAGAAGTAAATTAATAAATTAAGAAATTATTTATAATTCTACGTAATATTTAGAAATAAATATTCGAAATACTCAGTGCTTTCCAACAATGCTTTGGTTGGAAAGATTGCTCGAAAAAATGATTATTTGTTATAGCATATTTACGCGTGTACACGATGTCACTGAAAAATATAATAATTTTACATCGATTTCCAACAGTCGGTTTACGCTATAAATGAATCGTTTTCGAAAGATTTAATTGAAATAACGCTGAATCTCTTGGTACGACGAATATGTTTTTGAATTTCGTACAGTGTCATAGAATGTTCAAGGTTTTCCTTTTAAAGAGTGTCGCGAATCGCTGATGCGAGGAAACAAGATTCTTCTAGTTCTACTGTGTCACGCGTTAGTAAAATTTGCTTCCTCATCTGCAAACATAATGTCACCGTACCGGGCGTACGTGTCGCTTGCGTTAAACTGTACAGAACTCGGGGAACAAAAACCGAGTGAAGGTTACGCGTGTGGACGAAGTTGTTTTTTAGATTTAGAAATAATTTATCGGTACTTATTCTAGATCTTATCTATTTGTTAGATCGAAGAAAAAATACACCGTCGAACATGAAAACGTGTTGACCGTTTCCGGTGGTAATTGACGCAGCGTAAAAATCCCATGGAACATTGACGTAGACACGGCTGATTTCGATTGAAATTTAATGTTAATTTTATGGAAACCCAACGCAATCTTCGAGCTTCATCATCTATTTCGGAATAATACCTGACGCAACGACAGAGGAGATGTACGGTCTAGTGTTAAGTAAGAATCCTCCGAGAACCCCGGGGAACTGGAGCTATGCAATTGTTACTTATCAATATCTGATTTTGATTAGTATCGTCTCGTTAAAATTTCGTCAATGTACACTATCGGTCAAAAGATTGGGGACCAGTTAATTGCGTAACGTCACAAATTAAAGATGACATATCTTATAAACATATAAAATGAAATAATTAAAAATCATATATCTTTACATTTGACTAATACTTATATGTCAATGTTCCTTCAAACTATGCAAAAATTTTCCACAAACGTTGTTTAACAAAATGGAAGTTTTTCTGTAACGATGTATCGGTCTCAAACTTTTGACCGACAGTGTATTTTTGATTTTTCTCACACATATTTACTTCGTTTCATCCAAACTATAACTAGAATTATTGAACATTAGAATTTGTTTCCAAAGGCTATCATTTCTATTGAATTCATTTGTCTTCTTTTGTATTTATCGTTCTTCTTTATCGGTGTGTTAAATGAAAAGAGTTTAATCTTAATGTACATTAATATTGCATAGTTTACTTAAAAGTAACACGGAATTAAACAAAATTAAACAAATCGTTCAAACACCATAGATCTTCAAATAATAACGAATCTTTGAAATCATGGACACTATAAGCTCATAAAGTTTCAACGATCAACGCTATTGATTTAAAACAAATTTCTCTGAAACCAGCTACATCACCCAAAGATAAAATTACGATAGGCAAATTTTTTATCTAATCCTGTTTAAAGCCTAAAAAGAAATTTCCCGGTAGACAAAAATGACCCACTTTATCTTCACAATTACAATACAACGCGCTCCGCAATGATTAACGCCAGAACCACCGAGCAATCAAATAGATTTTCTTACATTTCCCAATGGTAACTCGAAGAATACATCCACCGAGATTTCAATTGCCTTGCAATTCAATTTACTACCAAATCAATCGTCCACACAAGACAAGCGTCAAATTCTCGTTATTCCCCATTAAATCATCAACGAGTAAAGTAGCTTCACCGAGCACAGTCGCGTGATCAAGGGGTTAAACGAAACCGATCCAACGACGGTGCATTCTTAAAAGATAACTTGACGCCTAGCTCAACAAGCCAGCAGCGAGAGGGTCTCTCTAGTCTACAATCCCGTAATTTCGATTGGTCACGTCTAGCCGTATCTCCGAGGAGCAAATCAACGATCGAAAGAATATCACAGGGATCATGAAAGGAAACCAACAGAAAATTGAAATCCCGAGGAAATCTGAAAACCGATCAGCCGAATTCCTCAGCCTAGCCATCGAGCGCGATCTCCTAGCAGCGCGTGTCGCGATCTCCTAACACGCGGAGTTTTCAGGCGCCGCGAGGACGCGGGTAAGTATGCGTAAGTAGGTAAGTAAGCCGGGCAAATGGTATCGTGAGGAGGACTCACCTTGATCAAGTTCATCTTGTACAAATAGGGAGCGAGGAGTATACCAACAAGCAGGAAAAAAGCGCCGGCAAGGCACCACCATCCGGCCATCGCTGTCTTCTCCACCCTCTGCCCCCGAACGAAGAAGAGCTGCAAGTGCACTCTAAAAACTTGTCCCTCCGGAACACCTTCGGTAGCCACCTCTCTTACTCCCCTCGCTCGCCGTCTTTCTCTCCGCCTTTCCCTCTTTCCTTTTTTCCCTCCACCATCCGCGTTCCTCCTTTTTTCCGTTCTTCTTTCCCTGCCTCC